TAGAGTGTCACCATTGTTATTCTTACGCCAACAAGACGAAGGGGAAGATAAAGGAGCTTAGCGTTGCCTTGAGACAGAAATATTAACTTCCACAAGTCGGGAAATAGATACAGCGCGATTTCAAGCCGGTTAGCTATCCCTAGATCTACGGTACAGTCCGTTATAAAGAAATTTAAACAGTTTAGCACGACAGAGAATTTGAAGAAAACCCAAGTTGTCACCGAGAACTGCACGAAAACTGTGTCACAAGGTTCATATAAACCCAAGAGTTTTGAAAGACATCGTCAAAAGTTTGGATACGATGGGTAGCAGGGTAAATACTCTCACAATACAATGTTGTTTAAATAGAAATGGTTTGTATGGAAACCGACCACAACGAACCCCTCTTCACATACAATGTCACATTGCTGCTCGGTTTAATTTTGACAAAATGTTCTTGGACAAGGAAAATTGCTTTTTGGAACAAGTACTATGGAGTGATAAAACAAAAATTGAGTTTTTTGAACATAATGATGTAAAGATGATTTGGCACAAGAAAAGTGAGTCTTTCCTCCTAAATACACAGAGGCAACATTAAAACATGGAGGCGGCTCGATGATGTTTTGGGGTTGTTTTAGCTCAATGAGGACTGGACAATTAATTGCAATAAGAGGAATAATGAAATCTTCTGACTATATGAAAATTCTGGATGAAAATCTACAACTATCAGCGCAAAATCTTCATCTAGGTTGGCGATTTACTTTCCAGCAAAATAATGATCCCAAACATACGTCTAAATCAGTGACTGCGTGGCTTCAGAAAAAGATTACAGCTCTGCCATGGCCTTCAATGAGTCCTGACTTGAATCCTATTGAAAATCTCTGGCAAGAATTGAAAATTTGAAAACCTTCACGAATTAGAACGTGTAACCATTGAAGAGTAGAAGAAAATTCCAGAAAAGTAAATGATTGCAGCAAATTATAAAGATGAGAGACCATGCTATTAACTATTAATATTGTGAAAATTGTTCATTTTTTTCTATTTTTCATACTGTACGAATAATTTTGTTTTTTCCTATTTTGCATAATTCGCCTGTCAAATTTGTTATATTTAACCTATTGTTCTGAAAATTGAGTTTTATATTCTTTTTTTGTGCTTATCACCATATGAAAAGCCTGGTATCATACGGCCATTACATTCTAAGAAATGGATAAAAATATTCAAAATTAATGAATAATTTCGTCATTGACTTTGTGTGTGTGTGTGTGTGTGTGTGTGTGTGTGTGTGTGTGTGTGTGTGTGTGTGTGTAGTGCTACAAAAATGTAACGTTCAGAGAATTTGACGCTGAAAAACTACTTAATCTTTTACCTAGTTTCCACCGTTTTCTTCCTGCAACTCCCTTGTCAGCTGTTTGTACACTGGCACCCAAAAGAAAAGTACAGCTCAAAAAGAGCAAGGGTAGAATCTGTGATATATTCGGTTCACGCGCGCTATCTAGATTCTCTAAATTTTGGGGTATAACCACATATATTTTAGTGCAAAAAAATGTTTATGTTGGGGAGTAACGGTAAAGCTACTGGGCTATAAGAAAAGGCAAAACCTTTCCTGCGGATAACAGATTAAATATAGTCGGTGTCAAAATTGCTTCATTGATTTGTTTTGTTGCTAGAATTAGTTACACACACAAACACGTACATATATGTGCTCGCGTGTGTGTGTGCATATATGTGATAGATTCATTTGTTTTTTATGGGTTCTCAACATTTGGTGATCGTAGGAGAACATCAATAAATTATAAGAAATAAAAACACAAACTAGGTACGCTAGTTTCGTCACTTTCCGACTTCTTAGCAAACTTTTGAAAAAATCGTAAAACAATCATGAAAGTTTTTAAATCGTTCTTAAATCGCGTTTAAATTGTAAAATTTTAAATAGTTATTATTTTTTTATCATTTATTGCTCAGGAATTTTTAACGGGTGACATTGACCACTCTTCTTGGTAGGTGAAATTGTTCTCCGACATTATTAGTACTGTTTACTGAGCTTAGATAGATAGATGGATAGATTAATCAACATTACAATAGATAGATAGATAGATAGATAGATCAACATTACGTTAGATCAAAATTACAATAGATAGATAGATCGATATTAAAAAAAAAAACTGAGATGGACAGTAACAAATTTAGATCAACATTACGATAGATAGTAAAAAAGCTGAGATAGATAATAACAAAATTAGATATATTCACATTACGATAGATAGATAGATAGATAGATAGATAGATAGTAAAAAACTGAGATTGATAGTAACAAACTTAGGTAGGTAGATCAACATTACGATAGATAGATCAACATTACAATAGACTGATAGATAGACAGATAGATAAACATTACGATAGATCAACATTACAATAGATAGATAGATCGATAGTAAAAAAAAAACTGAGATAGACTAACAAACTGTATAGGTAGATCAACATTACGATAGATAGATCAACAATAGATAGATAGATAGATAGATACTAAAAAATGTGACATAGTAATAACTTAGGTAGATAGATCAACATTACGATAGATAGATCAACATTACAATAGATAGATAGATCACCATTGCGATAGATAGATAGATAGATAGATAGATAGATAGATAGATCAACATTACGATAGGTAGATAGGCTCACCTATCGTCTGGCTCACGCTCCTTCCATGTTTATTGAACAGGAGTTGGGGATTATCGCTTGTTCCCTGTTTAAAATATGGTTCACTCTTTCTTTCTTTCTTTCTTTCTTTCTTTCTTTCTTTCAAAACCATAATGATTTAAGGTACCCGAACTCTTTGGTTGCGCCTAGGAACAGTGCCCTGATTAACAGTCCCATAATATCGGGGTATCTGTAGTGCCATATTGCACATGGGTTAGTCTCCCTGCATGTATTGCCCGTGGGGAAACCCTGAGACCACATTACGTTCTAGTCTCGGTCACGTTCTGATTAGTTTGTATTGCTATTAACGACAGATAGTGATAATTATGTTGGCCTTTTTCTTTTTCTCCTAAAAAAACATCTGACAAAAATCAATAAAAACAGACCACCTACATCTCATCCCTTCTTTCTCCAACATTCGTGGTATCCGTTCCAACTTCTGCAGTGTAGAATCTTTTCTCTTAAAACGGTCCAAGGTATCTTCGCAAATTGTGAAACTAATTTAAATTCTTCCATTGTTACCAATGAATACTCTGTTCCAGGCTATCTTTCTCTCTGCCAAAAAGATTATAGCATTCATATGCATGGCCTTGGTGTTTACATCCGGGATAATCTTCCAATGGCTAGGGAATTATCATTCGAGTCCCCTCGACAACTCTTTCATGTGCTTTCGACTTTCCTTATTACACTCTATCTCTTTTTTATTTCTCCACTCCCTCTTCTCGGGACTGCAATATATTAGACAAAGTATCTGGCAGTATTGAAACGGTGCTCTCTCTTCATCTATCTGCGAACATTTTTGTGTTTGGTGACTCTTAACTCGCATCATGTCAAGTGGCTTAAACATGATGCCACAGATGTTGCCGGCATTCAGAGTTTCAATTGCTCCGTTGCTTAGTCTCTTACTTAAATCGAGGATTTCCCTACTTAAGCTGATTGTCCGACTACAACTTAATAAAATAAAACTCATTTTGATTTACTAAGCATAGAGGAGGCACGGTGGAGTAATGGGTAGCGGCTCGGATTTCGAATTCCAGTCAAATCCGTTACATTCACTTACGTGCTAATAATACCCTTGGCAAATGTATGAATCCTCTTCTCCCTTCAGCTATGAGTAAACAGCAGAACAGATCAGGATCTATATCCTTGGATATTCTAGTCTACTGCAGAAAGAAATGGCAACCTACTGCGGGAAAAAAAATCTGCCTATGGCACATAACTGACTGAAGCATAGCTTAGATATCGCGCAGGGCCAGAAATAAGAACCAGCTAGTGAGAAATGAATTTACTACTCAGTCGTTATTGATCAAACTTGCTAACCATTAGACCACGTCGAAGGGCCCATAAAACACACATTTAATTTGTAAGAAAATTTTAATAAAGTAAATATTTTGAATGTTTTTTTATCTAATTTAAATAAACAAACGGCAAATTCTGTCTATCCATCCGTGTGTCTGAAAACTCTTTAACTCAGACCACAATTACCCTACATAAATATATTATACCTTTCTGGAATCAGGATGATCGCGGGGGATTGAAAATATGTCTTTAATCTGGTGCTTGAACATCCAGCATTGAGATTTGTGTCCGGATGAGGAGGGAACAATTAAAATATCAGATTTTAAAGTAACTGAAAAAAAAAAAAAATAATGATCTTAAAATTTTTTTAAATTCATATTCAGTTTAAAGTAACACAAAAACTGAATTAAAAAAAAAAAAAACTTCGCTTAAAAATTCAGTTAAAAATATCACCAAAAACTTTGTGAATTGAGGAAATCAGTTTTATTTCTTCAAATTGTGAAGTAATCAGAGTTAAAGTAAGAGGTTTCGGGACGTGAGCTTTTGAAGTTGCGAAGAGTTTGTGATTTGAAGAACTCAACTTAATTGAAATTCCACAGTGTTTGCGCTTTGAAGAACTCAATTTTCGGCCTGAATTGGAATTTCGGCCCAAATCGGTCTTTTGACTGAAACGGTACTTATAGCCCGAATCAGAGTTAAAGTGAGGTTTTGAAAATATCTCTTCAAAATTATTATTATTGTTTTCTAAGCTGGACCAGAGGTACCATTAGTTTTGGGCCAAAGACCCAATTAGTCCTCTACAGGAGCTGGTTTAAAAGTTCGCACGGAGTGCTGCTTTTAAACTAGTTTATAATAATCAAACTAATATTTTAAGAAACTAATTTACAAACATATTTATTTAATTACTATAAATCAATTATTATGGATGTTAACGCCCACTTGGTGTTGCTATGAACTCCCAAGGGAGGCAGTAAGTGTTTGAAGGAGTTATAGGATTTATAGCAGTTGTAAAATGATTTAATCACGATTTCTCGAATGATCACCAAAGTTAAGCAAGGTTGAGCCTGCTCAGTACCTAGATTGGTGATCGCTTGGGAACACCAGGTGCTGTAAACATGTGCGGCTGCTGTTATAGATAACAACTCGGAATTGGAAATCAAAGAAGCGAGTTCCGATTCCAGACGGATTTGTTATATTCACTTACGCGTGTTATACCCTTGAGAAAGGTATGGATCCACTTCTTTTTACTCTAGCTACCAGTTAAATTAGTAGGACTTTTATCGGTAAAAAACGGTGGAGTAATGGATAGCGGCTTGGATTGAGGAGTCGGAGAGCCGAGTTCGAATACCAGTCGAAACCATTACATGCTAATACCTTGGGAAGGGTGTAAATCCTCTTTTTTTCTTTCCAGCTATGGGTAAATAGAAGGACAGACCTGGTTCTATAGCCTTGGATGGCAACTGGTCTACCGCAGAAAGAAATGGCAACCTTTTGCTTCACCCGTCATGTACCGAAAGATACATGATCACCTAAGCGTGTATCACACATGGCACATAAGTGACTGATCTCCCCCACCTGCTTCCCCCAATTTTTTAAATTCTAAAATATTTTCTGGCTTTAAATAACCTGTAAAAAGGTTGATAAACTGTAAAAATCAATCACGTGATTTAACCCTTTGAACTGATTGGAAGAAGTATATATATATATATATATATATATATATATATATATATATATATATATATATATATATATATATTCGTTGGAGCTGGTAGAATAGAGATCAACGTGTTTTAGTGGACTCAGCAGTTTTCAGTCTGCTTGTCTGAAGCGAGAGCACGATCTAAAAGGTCAGCCAATCTAACAGCGATCGCATCTCACTATCCTCACACTTGCTCCATATGTAGCCTCCTTTGTAAATCACTAGCGGGTCTTAAATGCAACTTAAGATTATCGCACAAAATTACATAACTGAACCAATTAAGCTGTCAGATCCTCATACGTCGAAACCGACGGGGGGAATCCATTATATATACACACATTTGTTGTTGTTGTTTACCTATATATTTAAACTTTTAGGATTAATACAAATGTGAAATTTATCACTTTGGTTATTGATGCTATATTCACCACCACGAATACAGAGTTTCGTAGACGGACCTTTTAGTAATTGCTCTGTTCACTCTTCAGGAGATACCAGCCATTGACTGCTTATTTTCTCGTTTTTATTATTTTTATATTAAGTTAAAAATAATATATGCACTTTTTATTGGTGTATGGTTGATATTTTTTCTTCTTTCATTGCGTGCTCGTGTGTCTGTGATATAACAAAATGTTAAAATTAACGTCATATTAAATCTTTTCTATTAAATCTGCTCCATTCACAAGTGCAATTTTAAAATGGGGGTCCAGCTTGCGGAAATATCTTGTAACGGGAGAGAACTATGATAGAAAGATTTGTTTTGCCATTTGTATTTCCCCCATTATGGGCATTATTATATCCGTGTCATAATAACACCATAGGTCACGAATGGAACGGAATGACTGAAAGGAAAAAGAATGATGAACATGCTTTGTTCTCAGAGAGACTTTTATACTAGTAAGACATACACAAAACTATATATATATACATGTATTCACATGTCCCACGCGGAGAATAATATATCTTACTTATTATAAAACGCAGATTGTGTGTGTGTGTCTGTAACGTTTATATATTGGATCGGATTTCCTACATTTTTCAACCGATTTCAACAAAACTTCACAGGACTACATAAAATTACCTTGTGGTGGTTCTAACAGCGCCAAAAATGGGAAAATATAATTGTTTTTGCACAAAATCAAATTGAAAACACGATTAAGAGACATCGTGAAAATGGAAGGGGGACAACTCACATCGGATTTTCTATATTTTTCAGCCGATAGAACAAAACTTCACTTTTTTTTTTTTTGGCAGGTAGTGTTTCTTATTCTCTTGCGCACTTTTTTCTTTATTTTTAACATTCAGAATGCTTTAAAAATTCCATTTACAAGACAATTATTTATAATAAAATTCTATTCAATTGTGAGACTCATAACGATTGAAAACAATGTTTTTGTTTGAGTTTGGATTTGACCAATTCGTAAAAAATAAAAAAAATAAAAACTAATTAAGACATGCGTGTCCGTCAACCTTAAACAATAATCTAACAATCTCTACTGATTGTACGAATACAAACATCGGAATAAATTATTTATCTTTAGGGAAAGATAATGAAATCTAAACATACACAAGTCCTAACTAAAAACAATAACCGGAACGGGAAACTACTTTAAATACACATGGTGTCCAATTTTTTTACTGTATTCAATAAGTAAAAATCATAAATTGTAAAAGATTATTATTACAGAAAGGCTACTAAATGAATAAGATTTGTTAGATCATAATTAATAAACACAAATAAAGTTAATATTTTTTGTATTAGAAACAACGAGTGGAAATATATTCAAATCAGAATTGTAATTATGAATCACCACAAGCAAAATATGCAATTTTTATTACTGTATTCAATGAGTAAAAATCATAAATTGTAAAAGTAAAAGATTACAGAAAGGCTACCTACATTTTTCAACCGATTTCAACAAAACTTCACTTTTTTTTTTTTTGGCATGTAGTGTTTCTTATTGTCTTGCACACTTTTTCTTTATTTTTACATTTAGAATGCTTTAAAAATTCCATTTACAAGACAATTATTTATAATAAAATTCAATCGGGAGACTCATAACAATGTTTTTGTTTGAGTTTGGGTTTGACCAATTCGTAAAAAATAAAAAAATAAAAACTAATTAAGACATGTGTGTTCGTCAACCTTAAACAATAATCTTTGTCAATTTTATTTTCTTTATGATGGTGGATACTTGATCTATCTCTTACTGTTATATCCCCGGGCAACGCCGGGATCTACTGCTAGTCACATATATCTACACACCAAAGCAGAGTGCAAGGAGAAACAAAAAAGAAGGGTCTGGCATATAACATGGAGATACTCCTGTGTCTGGAGAACCCATTTTTAGGACTCCAGATTCAAATGGGTCGGATTCATCTTTGTCCCAGGCGAGGACATATTCTACAAACAGGAAACAGCGAGTCTTTGTTTTTCCCAAGTTGAGGACTGCGATCTGGAGTTTCTTCTTATATCTGGTAAAGATATATTCCCAAAAAGAAACGGTACTATGGAAATGTATGCTACTGGGGAGGCAGATTTAACCTCTGCCAGGGCCATGTTGGGAGGTGGAGTGATTAAAGACAGTAACCTTTCAGTTTAGCTGGTGTAAAATAATGGATTTCACTACCGTTTTCGTCACTGTATAGTGACTGTCACTAAGCGGTCTGTCATGTGACCCCTGTGACTTATCTCAATCTTTGTATCTATACAAACTGAAAAAGAGGATCCAAGAAGAAAAGATATTGAACCATTGCTATAAAACCTTGTGTCGGAAGGTAAACAAAGGACTTGTATGAAAAAGTAAACAAAGTATTATTTCTTATTTCTACAAATAGTAGATTATTCGCCTATCGTGTGATTCAGACTCCCTTCCGGTCTTTTGAGCAGGAGTAGAGGTTTATCCTTTGTTTCCTGTTTAGGATTAGTTTTCTGGTTTCTTCTAAAGTCTACTTAAACTCTATACTTCTAACATTTCTGACTAAACTATGAAATGTTATTTATTATTGATATATTTATTTTTCCTCAATAGGAGTAGATAGGTTCGTCTATCGTCAGATTCATACCGGACTTTTGAACGGTAGTAGAAGTTTATACCGTGATTCTTGTTTTGATTGCGTTTCTGGTTCTTTCTAAAGTCTTTTTCATTCTCCTTCATTCCCAGTAGCCCCCTTTGCATTTTAGTGGCATTATAGCCTTGCATGGAGTGAATTGCTTACATTATTTACCTTATACGAACTGTTATCCTCATCTTCATTGCCATATTCACAACGTTTTGTACACTCCGGCCTTCTTCAGGTGATTGGAATTTCGAACCGAACCCTTTATTTCGTCCACCGGGGTAGATTGTTCTAGTTCCACGTGCTACACCTCTCCTGGATGTCTCAGTTATTTCCCTTTAACTCAACTCTCCAAGTTTGGTTCACCACTGCTGTGGCCTGGTATTGAACTCACAAATCTTTGGGTCTGGTTACTGGATCTAACCAACGTCTTTATCCACTGGGTCATGTGTTCTTGAAACGTGAATATGGTAATGAAGATGAGGATAACAGTCCGAATAATGTAAATAATGTAAGTAATCATAATACCTCATCTCAGAGATATAGACAGATATGGCGTGAATTGATTAAAATAAATAAGAAATTAAAAAAACGTTATAATTTGTGTATACGTGTCTTTGAGTTAAATTTCACTGTTTAAAAAGTCGGGAATGTTTATACGAATATGTATACTCACTAAATATGACGTTTATAGTCATAAGTAATAATGTCGGACAGAAAAAAAATTAATTGCTTAATATATGTATCGCGCGCGTGTGTGTGCGTGGTTTCATGGTCGTCTTAAATCATCTTTAGCAAAGAATATAAGGGAAATATGTCAGAAATCGGACACTCTTTTTTTAGAATGCAATTTGAACGAAAGCGAAAACAGCCTACAATTGCATCAACAGTTCTCACAACAAAGCAGACCCATTCCACTCCCCTCCTCCGGGTCATGAAGACTTTAGCCCACTCAAATTCCTCGACACTTGAGTGTACGCCTCATAATCACATTTCATTTTCTTCGTCATCCAAAAGAAGAAAATATGGACCTGACAAACCGAGTCTCCAGAGGACCTAACGAGGACATTCCCGAATTCACTAAAAACCGTACTTGTATATTCTGAACATGGACGCAGTGTTATTCGTCTGAATTCCCGTTTTATTTTACAAGAAAATCGAAAAAAGATTTCATATATTTCCTGTCTCAACAGTAAGTTTGATCGATTCGATGAGGCCAGACTGGCAGCTGATCTAAAAAATGATTTACACTCTGTTGTTAACTGGGGCAAAGGATGACTTTTTAATTTTAAACGCCTCCAAAACAAAATTGCTGTGTATTAACCATCTGATAGGACACTTTTTGTCTTCC